TATATATATATATAATATTACAGAATACTTTTAAATATAATGAATGAGGTCAAAAACTTTTAACGATTTGAGACTAGTGTCATCCCTGAAATCAAGCAACGCGTGCTATAATAAAACAGCAATGAAATGAGGTGTAAATGAATATCATTTTGTTCACATCGCTAATTGGCTAATTTAAAATAATATAATCTCATTGGTAAAGCAATAAAAATACTATCGGCCGATGTGAGTGATGTATGTAAATGCACCGTTTCCAATGAAATGAGGAGTAGAAACGGTAATATATGTATAGGTATGAATACCGACACATTTTAATTTCAAGCCAAAAGTATTCGGTCCTGGACAGCTCTGAAATATACAATTGATCCCCGAATTATCACTCATGAACACTCATCTACTATTCTTTGAAACTCAGCATCAGAATCCCTAACAAATGAGATAAAGCAAAGCTCTTTCTATACGCCTGTCATATCCTGGGACGTGTTCAGATATCCACGCGGGTGTCATAATGTCATCCTTCAGTAAATAACAGGACGGAGTGATACTTGAGTGGCACTCAAGTGAGAATTTGAATATATGCCCTGAGGGATACAACAATATGTTGTGATCTGAGGGACAATTATATTATATCTTGAGTTAAAGTGAAAATTACAAAAATTAAGTATTGACCAATAAAATCATAACTATTCTAGAAAATTTGTTCACTTTTGTAATCTTCATTTTAATTGAAGATTTATTGTTCTGTCATCTCTTTTTTCAATAAATTTAATTTTTATATTGAAAGAATTCTTTGAACAATTTACGCACTCTGAACAGTGCCTATTTCCTCGAGCTCTTTTATTTATTTTTTATTGTTACTTTTAAAATTTAGTTTTAATTTCAAATTAAATGTTATTATGTGGATATTATTAAGCATTTAATTTTTAAAATAAATTTCCTATTTACCATTTAATTTAAATAATTTAAATCAGATAATTTTTAATGCAGATAAAAAAATTTTTTAAATTAATTATAATAAATTAAGAACAAAAATGAATTGTAATGTCAAAATGATGAAAATTATATGAACAATACATATTTAATAGCAAAAAAATGTGCAAAGAATATTTTTTAAATGTTTATCGCATCGTTTATTACATCACAATATTACATTCCACGAATTTTTCATTGTATTATTTACGTATCGTGTTTCACAAATTTCACAAATTTGGACATTACACGAACATTTGGACATTCACGAGGGACCAAATTAACGATTAATCCTTTTCTTGCTTTATCCGCATTTTGACCCGTTTCAATTCTTCATAACGAGTGACGTATTCATTCACCGTCGCGCATAGATCTCCGTTGTTCTCCATTGCGAGCTCGAGGGAAGAGAACAGGCTCTCCAATAGATAACTCGGCCATTCGTCGGTTGATCTGACAATCGTTTCGACCAAGTCCTCGATTTGCGAGGTGTACAATCTCTCAGTGCTAGACGGAGCCGAAGAGGCGCTGGACGTTAATCTCTGCCGTTTGGATGACGGACCTTCCCCGGACGCATTGTATTCTCTCTTGATGTTCGTTCCTAATCATTAGTTTATAAAAGTACAAATCCTTTGCGATTATACTATTCACGTGTTAATAACTCAATTCTAAGAAATTGTCCTACTGAAAAAATCCTGTCATAAAATTACATAATATTATGTAATTAAGATGATATGTAATACAAGAAGATATGTAATACAAGTAAATCATGAATTGTTTCAAATCAGTATGATTTTTTAAAACCACACATTTGAAAATTCACATAATAATATGTATTTTTCCTTCTATTTCTATCATTTAATTCTTTAAAATTCGATAACTATAAAATCACAAAATTATTTCTAATATTTCTGATATTAATATTTTTTTAATATTTCTAATATTATTCTAATATTTTTCAAATTACGTTTTTAAAAAAAAATCACATACTGATTTGTAACAATTTGAAACAATTTGTTACATGACTTATTTGTTTTAATTACATGATTTCGTTATATAACGAAATTATAATAAATAAATAAATCACGTAACAGATTGTTCCAAATCAGTACATGATTTTTTTTTAAATATAATTCTTTGTGATATGATTTTTTTCAGTAAGGCTATTATATAGGTTGGACTTATATAAGATTTGTGTATCAATTATAAAACAGTTACTTGATTTGGAAGACGTCGAGTGCGAGGATCGTACAGCTCTGAGCTTATTTCGCGCTTTCGATTGTGTTTTAATCTTTCTGGTCATGCCGCGTGCCGTATTAATCTCTTAAGAGACCATTACAATGCACATTAACATGCGTAAATATTATACACATAAAATTTGTATTAAAAAATATACCTAGTACTCCACTGGAGTCAGTAGAGTGTATATGATTCTTCAGCTTCCTGTTCTCACCCTTGAGTTTCTTCGAGCACGAGATTGGCGTCAGATCCGCTGCGTTTGTTAGAAATTGATATTTTGTTAATCATTATACACTGTTATTATTTCAGACGGATAATTACCTTGCGAAGAACAATCAGAAAGACTGTCGGATTTTCCATTGAACAACTGTTTGAAAAAGAAATGTCGCTTTTGTGGCGAAGGCGATTTCACTTCGTATATTTCGCCACGATTATTGTCATACAATTCTGCAATCTGTGACAAGCAGTCGATAATTGTGCGAATTTACGAACATATTGGAAATATATCAATATTTAAAGATCAGTCGTTTAAGAGATAATTGCGTTTAAGAGATAATTTGCTTTTTGACTATTTTCTAAAATGATTCTATAAACATTCAACATTTTCACTTCAATCTGTCGTTTTTAAATATACTTAAATATATCTTACGAATATATGCTATCATATTTATATCTCGAGATATCTGCTATTATTCTCAGACTTATTATTTTTAGATTATTTTCTTAATATGTATCGAGTTATTAATATTCTTATAAAATAGATTCTTATTAAAATCAAATTAAGTTTTATAAAATACTTATTAGTATAAAATTATTAAATGCTTGTCAATTTAATTTATGATATTACTA